AGTCTGGAATTGTGATGTCTCCAGCTTTGTTTTTCTTTTTCAAGTTTGCTTTGGCTAGTCAGGGGCTTTTGTGGTTCCATACAAATTTTAGGATTATTTGTTCTAGCTCCGTGAAAAGTGCTATTGATATTTTGATAGGGATTGCATTAAATGTATAGATTGCTTTGGGTAGTATAAACATTTTAGTGATATCTGTTCTTCCAATCCATGAACATGGAATGTTTTTGCATTCCTTTGTATGAACTTCAATTTCTTTCATCAGTGCTTTATAGTTTTCATAGTACAGATCTTTCACCTCTTTGGTTAGGTTTATTCCGAAGGATCTTGCTTCTGGTGCAACTGTAAATGGGACTGAGTCCTTAATTCTCTTTCTGCTGCTTCATTATTGGTGTATAGAAATGCAACAGATTTCTGTATGTTGATTTTATATCCTGCAACTTCACTGAATTCATGTATCAGTTCTAGTTTTTTGGTGGAGTCTTTTGGGTTTTCTATATAGAGTATCATGTCATCTGCAAATAGTGAAAGTTTGACTTCTTCCTTGCTGATTTGGATGCCTTTTATTTCCTTTCGTTGTCTGATTGCTGTGGCTAGGACTTCCAGTACTATGTTAAATAACAGGGATGTCCACTCTCACCACTGTGTTGTTTCTGACTTTAGGGGAAAAGCAAAAGCTCTACATTTTTCCCCATTGAGTATGACATTAGCCATGGGTTTATCATGGCCTTTATTATGTTGAGATATGTTCCCTCTAAACCTATTTTGTTAAGGGTTTTTGTCATAAATGGGTGTTATCCTTTGTCAGATGCTTTTTCTGCATCTATCGAAATGATCATATGGTTCTTATCCTTTTATTAATGTGGTGTATCACATTGATTGATTCGTGAATATTGAACCACCCTGGCAACCTAGGAATAAATCCCTCTTGATTGTGGTGAATGATTCTTTTAAAGTATAATTGCTAGTTTATTGAGAATTTTTGCATCCATGTTCATTAGGGTATTGGCATGTAGTTGTCTTTTTTAGTGGTCTTTATCTGGTTTTGGTATCAGGGTAATGCTGGCCTCATAGAATGCATTTCAAAGTCTTCCTTTTCTATGTTTTGGAATAATTTCAGAAAAATAGGTATTAACTCTTCTTTAAATGTTTGATTGAATTCACTTTTGTGACTTTTGTTTGCTGGGAGTTTTATCATTACTTATTCAATTTCCTTGCTGGTTATTGGTCTGTTCAAGTTTTCTATTTCTTCCTGTTTTATTTTTTTTTTTTTAAGATTTTATTTATTTGTCAGAGAGAGAGAGCACACAAGCAGGGGGAGTGGCAGGCAGAGGAAGAAGCAGGCTCCCCGCAGAGCTAGGAGCCAGATGCGGGGCTTGATCCCAGGATCCTGGAATCATGACCTGAGCCAAAGGCAGGCGCTTAACCGACTGAGCCACCCAGGCATCCCTTCCTGTTTGTTTTAGATGATTGTATGTTTCTAGGAATTTATCCATTTCTTCCAGGATGTCCAATTTTTTTGGCATATAGTTTTTCATAATATTCTAACTGTACTTTTGTAGTGTTGGTTGTTATTTCTCTTTTCTCATTTGTGATTTTATTTGGGTCCTTTCTCTTTTCTTTTTGATAAGTCTGACTAGAGGTATATCAATTTTACTAATATTTTTCAAAGAACCAGCTCTTGGTTTCATTGATCTATTTTATTTCTTTTTTTAGAAGTTTCTATATCATTTATTTCTGCTCTAATCTTTATTTCCGTCCTTCTGCTGGCTTTAGGCTTTGTTTGTTCATTTATTTGAGAATTTTGCTTCTTGAGGTAGACCTGTATTGCTATATACCTCCCTCTTAGGACCACTTTTGCTGCATCCCAAAAGTTTTTGACCATTGTGTTTTCATTTGTTTCCATGTATTTTTGTAATTTGATTTCCTGGTTGACCTATCCATTATTTAGCAACATGTTGTTTAACCTCCATGTATTCGTGGTCTTTCCAAATTTTTCTTGTGGTTGACTTCTAGTTTCATAGCATTGTGGTCAGAAAAGGTGCATGGTATGATTTCAAAATTTTTTTTTATTTGTTGAGGCCTGTTTTTGTGACCTACTGTATGATCTATTCTGAAGAGTGTTCCATGTGCACTTGAAAAGAATGTGTATTCTGCTGTTTTAGGGTGAAACATTCAAAAAATATGTTAAGTCCATTTGATTTTGCTGATTGAATCTGATAGCTCTCATGGGTTTCTTCACTTTTAAAAAAATCTTAGTTCTCTTTCAAGTCACTTGTTCTTTTCATCTGGTCTATCCTGTTACCTATGCTCTCTAATGCAGTCTTCATCTCATTCATTGACTTCTTCAGCTCCAGAATTTGTATGAAATTTTTAAAAAAGAATAAATTTCTTTGGTAAAGATTTATTAAATTTATTCCTGAGTTCATTGAGTTGCCTGAGTTTTCTTGTAGCTTGTTGAATTTCTTCATAATGGCTGTAATGAATTCTTTATCAGATCACAATATTCTGTGCCTTTGAATTTGGTTGCTGAAGAATTAATCATTTTGGTAATACCATATTTCCTTGATTTTTGTTGTTGTGTTTGGTACTTCAAATGCAAAAGATGTGCTTATCCTTTCTTTAGTGAAGAATTTGTTCACTTTGGCTGTTATAGTTCAAGATGCTGACAATTAGAAACCGTTCTTTTGTGTCCCAGAGGTGGTGCTATAGCTCAAGTTTTTAGTTTCTCCTATGGGTGGCTAGAGACTGCTCTCAGCAACACACAAAAAGAGCTGGCAGAAGGGTCAGGGGAGACATGGGCTTAGCATCTGGGCCTTCAGGGGTTCCCATGACCAATAGGGGGATTCTCCAGTGTGGGGCTCCACGAGGCCCATAGGTGGACCCCCTGCCAAAATCCAGAAGCAGATAGAAGGAAACATATTTCTTCAATATGCTTTGGTATTCTTCTTGACCTCTTTTCCTTTTCTTTCTTTCATCTCAGTCATGGAGATCCCTCCTCAGAAGTTCAGGGTCCTACTGGATAGAAATGGATCACTTCAGCCACAACCCCTGCAGGTGGGCGACCACTTTCTCTTTCCATTTCCTCTAGCAGAGAGGTAGCCACTGCTGCCAACAAAAACCCAGTATATTGCCACATTGCCCAGAGAGGGGCATCCCGGTGGGTTCCTATGTAACTGCACCCCAGCAGACTCTAAGCCAAGGATGGATGATGGTCCTGTAAGAGCAAAGAAATGACCAGGAGATAGTGAGTGAGACATAGGTTTATGGGGGGAACTTACAGGGAGTCCAGGAGAGGCTGACTAGACAAAGCATCCACTGCTGGAATCTGCATGAAGCAAGTTTTTATGGTTTAACAACTAGCCATTCCTCTCCTGGCATGGCCAGTGTTCTAAGGAGATCAAGGTCTGCCACCCAGATATTCTGTTACAGAGGAGGTGCTCCAGGTTGGCCATTCCCAGAGCCCCTACCTTGAATGCTAAACAACACGTTCTTCTGTATCTTCTGCTTGATGGGAATATAAAAGGAGGATGGGATCTGTATATTCTCAAGATAGTGATTAACAGGGACATTCAGGGTGTGCTTGTATAAACCAAACATCCAGCACATATCATGCAGTTCCTCCCTCTCTGCTCCAAACTCCTCCCTATCCCACTGGGATGACATGCTGGGATCTTCAGTCAGGTTGGCTTAGACCCCTAAAAATATGTCTGCTGTGTGTGTCTACCCAGTTTTGTACTCTCCAGGTTAACCGTTTCCCCAGTCATAGAAGGGGAGGTGAAGTAGGCTCACTGACTCCCTTGGGTCCACAGTCTCTTCCAAGGTCTTATCTACCCACTTTCAGATGCATAGGTGCATAGAAATTGCTTAGGTGTCCTGGTGTAATGTGCAAAGGCACCTTGTTTGATTTACAACTAATTGGGCATCAATAACCAAAGGTAAGAGGGAAAAGGATTCATGCCACCACGATGCTGACTTTACTCTAGAGAAGTTGTTGTGCCTCTTGATCTGGGTGCTGTTTCCATGAAAGGAACCAATTTATAAAAATTTATAAACAACAACAAAAAATTTAAACATGCATCAAGCTGTATATATATATATATATATATATATATATGCAGTACTTCAATAAAAGTTAAATGTGATTCTATTCTACTTTAGGGTATATAGCCAAGTGAGATGAGGGCAAGAAATCAGATATACACCCATGTTGATGGCAGCAACCCAATTCTCCATCAACAGATAAACAAAATACTGTATATATGTAACACTGGAATATCATCAGCCATGAAAAGAAGGAAATTCTGGTACATGCTAGAACAAGGATGAACCTTAAAGACGTTAGGTTAAGTGAAATAAGTGAGTCTCACAAACACTGTAGAATTCCACTCATACGAGTAGTCAGCACAACAGTGTGAATGTACTTAACCACTTATAAATGGACAGTCCAGTGGTATTAAGATGGTAAACAAGTATGTGTCCTTTACCACTATTTTTTTAAGGTAATATATACCCTCTAAGTAAATGTATCTTAATGATGTTATCAACTTACCTCTGGTGAACATCCCCAAAATTCACTCCTCTTCTCTTATTTGGGCTATTTGAAACCTTACCTTTTCAATCCTGTTGAACACAAGAAGTGAAGAAAACCAGCAGTGGACTCTCCCCAAGCAGTAAGGTGAGATGTCACTCACAAAGGCCCTCATACTAAAAAAGTGCTTGGACATCATCCCTCCTATTTATACTCACAAGTCTATCACCCTCACTTCACAGTTGGGGACATGGACCAAGAAAAAATAATCACAACCCAAAAAAGGAACAAAATTCAAATTTTCTGTTATCACATTCAAGCTGGACGTCATCCTCATAAGACCCTCAAGATTGTTACTAGACTTGAAAACCAAATTAGATTTACAAATTCATTTTGTGCTTCTATTGTTCCCATAATAAAATGCATTCTAGAACATAGATCTTTCTTAAATGGTTAAAAAAAAAAAATTGACTTTTTGACTTGAAAACCTTTTATTTAATTTATACAAATAACTACTAAATACAAAAAGTAGATTAAAACAAAATAGTTATTTTTTTTCTGGCAGAGTTTAAATGCACATAATGGATAATTCCGAAGAAAATGCATTTTCCCCACAGCGTTCAGGACTAAAATTCTACTGAAATCTTTGCTTCTAAATCAGTAATATATTCGGTGGTGTCACATGGGTAATGGCTAAATACATTTCTGCATATGAACTGAAAAAAGTTACAGTCTACACACATACAAATGTGAAGCACTTAAAATGTGAATTTAACTGATAATAAAAGAAAATGTCCATTTCAGAGTATAGTGTTAAAAACATTTAAGTAATAAAATCATAAGACCACATAAAAATAAGCTTTAACAGATGCATGAGGCAGTTTTGTAAAAACTGCTTCATGCACAAGTAATAAATAATTTGCAAAGTTGTGTATAAACAATTCCTAATGTTTCAGCATCATTGTAAACATCAGCACATGTGTAAAATGCAGCAAAGTCTGACATTACATTTTGTTTTGCCAAATTGAATTCCTATTATCCGAAGACAGACCAGTGGAGTACGCAGCCAACGTTTTGGCACGTTGGGTCTTTAAAATTAAGAGTAACAGTGCAAGTAAGGAATGCAAAGAATTCCTAGTGCAATAAAGAAGAGAAGCACAGGCAATATTGCTGATAAAAATTCCCCACCTCCTTGAGTTTCCCATGGGGAGAGTCTAGGAGACCTGTGAAAGATATGCAAAGCTGCTGTCTTAATGCCCAGATCTCTTAGGATTTCTCTGTGTTCCTTCAGTTCCCCTACCTTGACAACAGTGTCTGTCCAACGTGAGTCTCTGCAGTGTGAACAGTTTGTGAAATGCCCAGTTCACAGTCATTGAGCGAGGTTAGGGTGGTTTTGGTGTCTCCCCAACGCATGGCTGGGTAGACCGTCTGCCTTGTCAAAGCAGCCATGTGCCGAGGGAGACAGATGGATTCTGTTCTGACAACCCGTCAGGCCAGCCTTAGGTCCCAGCTGGACAATGACGACGTCAAATCTTCCTTCTTGACACCATGAAAATGTCAACAGTCAGTTTTCAATTTGTCTAGGGAATTATCAATTTTGGTCAAAGTCTTTTTGATACGCAGAGCTGTGAGTCTTGCGGATGGATTTTGATACCAGCATTCTTTCATCAGCTTAGCCAGAGAGGTTAATGTCTGAGGAGAGAAGAACAAATACCACAGTGAAAAAGTGGCTTTTCAGTGGCCCCAGAAACTTGGCAGATGTTGTCTCAACAGATTTTGCAGAACTCTGCAGGTCTTGGGAAGGGATGGGGCTGTTACTGCCGTCTTCTTTATCAAATAATCAAGGCCTTGACCACTGATCAAGGAGTTCCTCTTGAGTTTCGTGAACTCTGGCCTTTGGACTCCTAATGCTACCAGCTGACTTTATGAGGTAAATTACATTAGGACGGGCTCGACCCCCTGATGTTTTATGGGTGCTAAAAGAGATAATGCTACCCCAGAGTTAATAATGAAATGTGCAAATGGTGTCGTATCTTGGTGTTTCAGACTTGCTGCTACAAAAGAGAAGCAATACGAATCTTCAGCAGAATAGCTTCCGTTTGGAATTTCAGATATGCAGAGAAGGAAAGAGGGTGGTCTCTTGTTTGACTTGCGAAACTGCAGTCCTAGGGCTAGTGGCAGAGTAATGAGTCTCCTAACTCCTAGAGCTAGTCAGTAATAGAAATTCTTGTGAATATTGTCATTTATTAGCAAGATCAGAGAATTTCGCTCTTTCAATACCATTTTGTGAACCTACTTAACTACGTCCAAGGCCCTTCTACATTAGCTAGAAAGCAATAGACAGGGCAGATCATGCAGGAACTATGCTATTTGCTTGCTCTTGAGTTTCACCTAGTAAAAAGGTGAAGATACCTCTAAAACTAAGAAACTGGCACTCTTACCGGGTCTGAGAACCATCTATTGGGTATGTTTGGCCTCTGTTGATCCACACAGACCACCTTTCTCATATCTTCAAAACTTGGGTCATTGGGAACCACGTCGTAAAACGGTGGCTTGTAATCCTCCACAATACCTGCACACGTGGACAAGAATTGTGTCAATTAGCAAGAGAACAGAGATTGCCCCCAGGGCTTTATTAATTGCTATCGCAGGTTATAATGTGATAGAAGAACTGAACATCTTCCTCACTTCAAGGTGATTCTGAAAGCTACAAAATAAGTGGTGAACAAGGTAGTAATTATTCTTCCTCCAAATCTCTGCAGGAATTACATTAGAAGAAAATGTGGCTACTACTCATGTAATTACATTTATTGACAAAATGTTCTGTGATAACCCAAAATGTAACTGAGGACAAAATTCCTTTGGTGATTAAAAAGTGGCAACATTCTGGTACAAGACGGTGACATAGGATAGACCCTGAACGTCTCTCCTTCATGGATATACCAAATCTATACCTCTTGAGGAAGAGTTCAAAGGGATGCTACCAGACTGGAGAAGACAGTGGATAACTCAGGAAGAATTTCAAAAAAGAAATTAAAAAACAACCAATCAGAGTTGAAGACACTAAATAACTGAATGAAATATAGACTAGAGGGAATCAACTGTAGATTAGAGGATGCAGAAGAATGGATCAATGATCTATTAGAAAGCAATCCAAGCTGAACAGGAAAAAAAAAATTTTTTTTTAATTAGGATAAGCTAAGGGATCTCTTTGACAACATCAAGCCAAAAAAACGCATTATATGGATCTCACACGGAAAACAGAAAGGGGTCAGAAAACATACTTGAAGAAATAATAGCTGAAAACTTTCCTAATCTAGGGGAAAAAACAGACTTCTAGGTCCAGAAGCACCCAAAAGTCCTGAATAAGATGGAAACCAAGGAAGTCTACACCATGACACATAATTAAAACGTCAAAGAATAAAGGACAGAAGCAAATAGTCACATACAAGGGAAACCCCAAAAGGCTATCAGCTGATTAATCAGCAGAAACTTTGAATATATCATGTTACTCATTCTGGCCTGCAAAATGCTGAAAGGAAAAAAAAAAACTAAAACCAAGAAAATATCTCCTTAAATTCTGGATGATAACCTTTCTGGGTGAAGAGTTCCCCAAATAAACAAAAGTTAAAGGAGTTCATCATCACTAAATAGATTTTATGAGAAATGTTAACAGGACTTCAAGTGGAAAAGGAAAAGGCCAAAAGAAGAAAATTATGAAAAAAAAATTCATGAATTAAAAGCCAACACAGTAAAGGTAGTAAAGCAATCACTTGTAGAGTTAATATGAAGATTAAAACACAAAAGTAGTAAAATCAATTGTATCTAAAAACTAGGTTACAGGGCTTCACAAAATAAAAATGTAAAATATGACAATGTATAAAATGAGAATAAAAATAAAGTTCTCTTAGAATGTGTTCAAATTTAAATGACCCTCGACTTAATATAGACTGCTGTATACTTAGGATGTTATGTATAAATCTCATGGTAAACACAAAACAAAAACCTATAAACACACACAAAAAAGAGAAAGCCAAGTCTAATACTAAAGAAAGTCATCAGTCACAAGGAAAGACAGCAAGAGAAGAACTACAAAAACAACCAGAAAGCAATGAACAAAATGGCAAGGGTTAGCAAATACAAACAGGTTAATCATACCAGGTACCTTCATTAACCACATGGTATAAAACCTGAAATCAACAGTAGCAGTTAAACTAAAAGAAATCATGGAAATTAACACTCTCCTGTATAATTGATCTCTAAAATACTTAGAGACAAAAGCAAAGAACTAGACATGTGAAGAAACAAAGAACTATGTCCAAATGAATGACCAAGAAAATATCAGAGCAAAAGAGCGAAATGAAAAGGAGATAAATATAAATGATAAGAATTCAAAGTAATGGTCATAAAGACATATGCTAGACTTGAGAAAAGAATAGATAACTCAAAACATATGCAAAAGAAGTGGTAAGAGGTAATAAATATAGTAACTGAAAGAATACAGTAGAGAAAAACTACCCCAGCATATTAGAGGATTCAGAAAAAAAAACAGTGACCTAGAAGACAGGTTGATAAAAAGCAACCAAGCTGAACAAGCATAATGAAAAAAGAATAATAAAAAGATAAGAACAGGTTGAAAGAACTCAGCAACATCAACAACCCTAACAACATTTGCATTATAGGGATTCCTAAAAAAAGAAGAGAAAAATAAAAAGACAGAAAACTTAAAACTTCCAAAATCTGCAGAGAAAAAAGACATTCAGGAAGAGAAAGAAAAGAAAGCCCATAACACGATGAGCCCAAAAGAGAACACACCAAGCCATGTCATGATAACAATGTCAATCTTTAAGCATATAGACAGAATTTAATAAGCAATAAGAGAAAATAACATACAAGGGAAAAGCTATCAAATGATTTTTTAATGGAAATTTTGCAGGGCAAAAAGATGTGACATGATATATTCAAAGTGCTGAACCAAAAAAATTCTACAAGCAAGAATGCTCTACCCGGCAAGGTTGTCATTCAGAATTGAAGGAGAAATAAATAATTCCCCAGACAAAGGAAAGTTAAAAGAGTTCATCGACACTCTACTGACCTTCCAAAAAATGTTAAAGGGTCTTCTTTAATGGGGAAAAAAAAAAAAGCCATAATTACAAGCAAGAAAATTATGAAAGGAAAAAAAAATCATGAGGAAAAGCAAGCACACAGTAAAGGTAGTAGAATAATCACTTATTAAGCTAGTATGAAGATAAATAGACAAAAATAGTAAAATCAATTATATCTAAAAGATGGGTGATAGGGGCTCACAAAATAAAGATGTAAAATGTGACAACCTACATAGAAAATGTGGAGGAGGAGAATTTTACTCTTTACGAAGTTCTTTTAGAATATGTTTGAACTTAAGTGACCATCAACTTAATACAGACTGCTGTATACTTAGGATGCTATAGATGAACCTCATGGTAACTGCAAACCAAAAACCTGTAATAGACACATATGAAATAAAAAGCCAAGTAGAACACTAAAAGTCATCAATCACAAGGAAAGAGCAAGAGAAAAAGAAAGGAACAGAGAAGAACTACAAAACAACCAGAAAGCAATGAATAAAATGACAAGGGAATTGTATAAGACTGTACCTCTGAAACAAATACATTATATGTTAAAAAAAGAAAAAGAAGATAGCAGGAGGGGAAGAATGAAGAGGGGGGGGAAATCGGAGGGGGAGAAGAACCATGAGGGACTATGGACTGAGAAACAAACTGAGGGTTCTAGAGGGGAAGGGCATGGGGGGATGGGTTAGCCTGGTGACAGATATTAAAGAGGGCACATACTGACTGGAGCACTGGGTGTTATACGCAAACAATGAATCATGGGACACTACATCAAAAACTAATGATGTAATGGATGGTGATTAACATAACAATAAAAAAATGACAAGGGAGTACACACCTATCAGCAATCACTTTAAATGTAAATGGTCTAAATGCTCCAGTCAAACAACATAGGGTGACTGAATATATCAAAACAGTAAGTCCCATCTATATGCTGCCTACGGGAGACTCACTTCTTTTTAAAGATTTTATTTGACAGAGCAGGGGGAGAGGCAGGGAGAAAGAGAAGCAGATTCGCCTCTGAGCAAGGAGCCTGATGTGGGACTCGATCCTAGGACCTGAGCTTAGGCAGACGCTTAACTGACTGAGCCACCGAGGTATCCCAAAAGACTCACTTCTTTTTTTTTTTTTTTTAAGATTTTATTTATTTATTTGAGACAGAGAGCATGAGAGGGAGGAGGGTCAGAGGGAGAAGCAGACTCCCCGCTGAGCAGAGAGCCCGATGCGGGACTCGATTCCGGGACTCCAGGATCATGACCTGAGCCGAAGGCAGTCGCTTAACCAACTGAGCCACCCAGGCGCCCCGAGACTCACTTCTGACCCAAAGACACAGACAGACTGAAAGTGAAGGGATTTAAAGAGACAGTCCATATAAATGGAAGCCAAAAAGAAAGAAAAAAAAAAGCTGGGGAAGCAATACTTCTATCAGACTAAATGGATTAAAACAAAGACTGTCACAACAAAGAACATTACATAATGATAGAGGGTTCAATCCAACAAGAGCATATAACAATCATAAATATCTATACACCCAACATTGGAGCATCTAAATACATAAAGCAAATATTAACTAATTAACAGAAGGGAGAAATTGACAGTAATACACTAACAGTACAGGATTTAACATCCCATTTACATCAATGGATAGATCACCCAGGCAAAAATCAACAAGGGAAGAGTGGCTTTGAATGACACATTAGACCAGAGGCACTTAACAGATACATATAGAGACTATTCCATCCAAACACAACAGAATATACATTCTTTTCAAGTGCACATGGAATATTCCCCAGGATAGATCAAATGTCAGCCCACAAATCTCAACAAATGTAAGTAGACTGAAATCCTACCAAGCATCTTTTGAGAACACAACAGTATAAAACTAAAAACCGGGAAAAAAACAAAAACACGTGGAGGCTGAACAGCATACTACTGAAGAATGAACAGACCAACAAAGACATCAAAGAGGAAATACAGAAACACAGGGAGACAAATGAAAATGAAAACACCATGATCCCAAATCACTGGGACACAGCAAAAGCCGTTCTAGAGGGAAGTTTATGGCAATACAGGGCTACCTCAAGAAACAAGAAAAATCTCAATCTAACCAAACACCTAAAAGAACTAGATAAAGAATAAGGCCAAAGTTAGTAGAAGGAAGGAAACAGCGACAATCAAGACAGAAATAGAAAATTAAAAACACAGAGAAAAGAAAAGAAAAACAGAAAAGATCAATGAAACCAAGAGCTGGTTCTTTGAAATATCAAGAGAAGTAATAACCCTTTAGCCAGACTCATCAAGAAAAAGAGAGGGCCCAAATAAATAAAATCAGAAGTGAAATAAGAGAAGTAAAAACAGTACAGAGAAATAATCCCTCCCATTGGTAGAATGCAAATAATATGAAATATTCATTTCTTCTTTCTATGGGCAATGAGCAACCTCAGACTGCCAGACACAGTTG